AGTTTTTAGAACTCACTTGCTAAAACATGTTATATGTTCATATTATAAGTTATTATTTTGATTGCGTTAACAACTATTAGATAAACATGGAATATTGTACTTCCTATTAAACAGTTTTGTGGTGTTTAACCAAATGCGCTTCTTTACACTATTAATTTAGAGGAAACAGCTTAGAAAAGAGATTGTTTTTTTTCATACAACTTTTGCAATATTAGTTGTAGTTTAAAAAACTTAAGATGAAAAAAGAATTAATGTACTTGATTAAAATTTGTCGGGTTATTTTAAGACCTTATTCTCAACTTATTAAGCTCTTTTTAGCGAATTTCCCATATAGGGAATAAGCTATTACCGTAGTACTCATGGTAAGACCTGGACCCGGGACCGATTTTTTTTTCGTTTTGAGGTCCCTAGAGGCCAAAAATAGCATCCGTTCAAATTCATATATATATATATATTTATATATATATATATATTTATATATATATGTGTCCGTTAGCGCGATAACTCGAGCAAAAATGATCCGATTTTGATGAAATTTGGTACAAACGTGTAAACCTACGTTTATTCGAACGAGTTCGCGAACCAGCATGATCGGACCATGGGAACGGGGGTTTATGGGGGCTTTTATGGGGTAAAAATGGGTTTTTCCCATTTTTGACCCAAAAAACTTAAATTTTTGCAATTTCTTTACAAACTATTTTGTAGAGCTTAAAAAAACAAATAATTTAGTATATTTAAGCGTTATAATGCGCCTAATGGTTGCGGAGAAAATTCAAAAAAATTGTAAATTTAAAATTCCCATGTTATTCTTATGGAGGATAAGTAAACTGTTGTAGTTTGCTTATTTATTAACATATTTTGCCCAAATTTGGAAAATGTTTTTATTTCTTACTAACTATTAACATTTTACATAAAAAAACACTTTAACCCTCCCTGTTGCAGCAAACCTAAGTATGTGTTAAACTGATTTGATTTAAATAGGGAGTAAATGTGATATTTTTAAGGAGACATTTTAGTGTAAATCCAACCAGGCAAATGGAAATTCGCTTAGTCTGCAGGTTTGCTGCGGCGGGGGTATTTTTAATATCCATTGGGTATTCGCATAATAACTTACTCAAGAATTCTAGGGTAGTGAAAGGTGGTCATAAAATTCAGAAGGCGCAAATGTACAGTAAGTAATACAGTAACAAAATAGTTTATAGAACATTATGTTTTGTCATTGATAATATAAACCGTGATTACAAGAGTGCAAGAATAGCAATAGAAGCAAACAATAGAAAACCGCTGATGGCAATGCAAACTTGCTGACTATTCATGTACACAATCAAGTATGAATTATTGTGAAAAGGCAAAAATATTACAAACAAACAACTATATAAAATATCTAATTTTCCACCCATCTGTATATTATTGTAATATTACGTTAACCTAAAAAAATTGGTAAATTTGATGGACAAGACGATTTCTAGACATGTAAATTTGACGGTAAAATTTCACAAATACGCCTGCAAAGCCTTATAAAATTATATTCGTGCGCCAAATATGAAATCATCAGGTTTTCCATTACTTTGTCAGAAAAGCAAAAGAAAAGGAGGAAAAAAGTAAACGTGGCCTGAAAGATATTATCAGTGAATGTGCAGCGGTCGCGGTCGGATTTGGCTCATTGTCGATTCTACCACGAAATTAGCTCTTGGGATTAAAAGTAAGGACTTATCTTTGGAAATAAAAGACATTGACTAGATGTTTTGCAGTTCCTCTGACATTGAGCAAAACTTTAAAATGCAAAAATATGACACAACAAGATATTTCTCGTCTTCATACTTTTCCAAACTATGATTTCATTATAGGTTCTTCCTATAAAATAAGTATTTTCCAGAATTAAACAAATTATTTATATTTGAAGATAAAATACATCGATTGTACATACAGAGGGGTTTTTTTTCAGTCTGTTCCTCCTTCCGACGAAAAAATAAGATTAAAATTGATTAAATGTTTTCGTATTTCTCGTCGACCACAAAATCAAAATCTGCTTTTGCAATATTGATGTTTTGACTATGAAAATAAAAGACATTGATTAGATAAAATCGTTGTTTTTGCAATACTTACCTACTTTGGGTATAAATAGCGATACAATTTTAGATTAACTAAGTGTTTTTGTGTTTCTTATCGGGTTTAACGAAATGCTGTATTGATATAATTTTATTTCACTCAAAATAAGCTCTCGAGATTAAAAATAAGGTTCTTCACGAAATACCTATTTTTGCAGTATCCTCTACTTCGATTACAAACTTTTGAATTTATGAAAGTATCTTATGGACCACTAAGTATTTTCTTATTTTTCGTCGTCCAAGATTTCTAAACTATTGATATCGTTGTCGATTTTACAAAATACTTTCCCTTGCACGATTAAAATAATAAATTTATCTCTGAAAATTAAAATCAAATACATTGATTCGTACAAATACAACGTAGGTACTAGTAGTATTTGTATACCTAACCGTTCTCTCTCTGAATAATAGTTTTTTTTATATGGAAAGTATACAAGATAAAATTAAATAGCACATATCTGCCAACACTATTCCGTATATTTTCATAGTAAATGCGTATGCAGGGTTTTGAATAGCGATCGATTACGACCAGTCACTGTTCATTATCAGGCCTGATCGGAGACTGAACGTCATCTGTAGTGTGGTATTTCACATCATACGTTGTTTCAAACTATTGAAATCCAATGTGAATTGTCACCTACGCTAAACAGATTCAGTCGGATTCTAAAGGTTATCAAATGGATTTCCAACAAAGCTCTGTATTCAGAGTCGGCTCCGTTATTGTACCTGCTATTGTATAACAGCAATACTACGGGATTAGCGATGAAACCCAGCTTTGTGATTAACACAGTTTATGCCTTTGCTTACACTCAGTATTTCAATAGGTGTGTTGCATATTAACCATAGTAAAGTACGATATGGTAAAACACATCACATTGTATTTAGTGACTTGAGTACTTTGATACTTACATTGGTCGTTTTATTATTATATCGAAATAAAATATCTGAGATAATTTATCGTTTCCTAAGTGATTTAAATACAATGTCCTTGTTCGGTATTTTATTTTAATCGAGAGAGTGACTAAAGTATTCATGTGGAGAAACGCAATTTTTATTTATTTTTTCCATAATTTACTATATTTTATCTATATGGCTCTGAGATTACACACAATTATTCATAAAAGTCATTAATATTCATTGTCGGAAAAGAGTCATACGATGTAGTCTTCAGACATCCCCTGTCTTAATCGGCTTGCTTAACATTTCTGTACATCTGACTGCACTGATCGAGATAATTCAATAACAATGATGCCAAATTTACAACGGTCTAACAAGGTGTTAAGGGCTTTTATAGCATTGGGATGTAACTAGAAACCAATAAAAAAGATCTATTCATGTAAGAGTTTATTCGAAAAAGAATCAAACCTAACTAGATAGGAAAATTGCACCATTTTCTTAAATTAAAACAACGAATAAAAATAAATATTGTTGAGTAATTAAAATTATAATTTTATTAGTTTGTTTTAGCAACACGTCTAAAAATATACAAAGAAAAATAAAAAATGGCTACGATAAATAGGTGGGGTCAAGGGTACTCAATGATGCAAAATAAATTACTGAAAAGGCATTGAGAATGCGAAGTGAAACTCAAAATGTTGTACCATAAATCGATTATTGTTCTGTTCTAATGTGCAGCCCTTGTAAACCAGGCAATTTGAGCAAAAACACTATTGTAGTTCAACTTGCGATACTATGGATCTATTGTTTAGGAATTTGGATGTTTAATTGTTCGATACTTTATATAGATAGATATTAGTGATTATCGAGAATTCGCTCACTACTCTTTAATCTATCTCTTTCATCTTTAGTAGGCCTACTCAGTTTCATTTTAGTAGAAGACAAACATAATATATTTTAACAATAACTTGAAGAACGACACTGTATTTTTAAAATGATGTTATTCACTCCTTCACAATGATGGAATAGGCACTTTTAGTACCCATTAAAATAGCGTTAATACTTTCTACACTTTTTATAGTAAAACATTAGCTAAATTTTAAAATACAATAATTAAAAACGAATTCGAAGCACACAGAAATGGGTGGAGGGATTTAAATTATTCAATATAAGTCACTGAAATAGCATTGCAATGTGAACTGAAACCCAACTTTTCTTTTTTGAAGACACGATGAAAAACGTGTTTCGTGTCAGCGAAAATATCAATAAAGTGGGGGTTAATGCGACTTTGCCAACTCTACCCAGAGGCGCTCTTACCAGAGCCTCCCCTTGCTTTCTGTTATCACCCCCCCCCACCGGCAACTACCCCCTTGTCGTGCTGTCAATCTCTTGTGAGAAACACAGCTTGTCACTGCTATGTAGAATACATCTTTGTATAGTGTTACTGATAAATAAGCGTTTGTTTCAATCGCATTATACTATTGATTGACGTGTTATCGTTACAGTAGTGAATTATATAGATCGGAATTTGTACACTGCGAGTAGGATTTTAACGGAATACGATTGAGAGAGTTGTAAAAATTACTGTTTTTCTATTCATCGCACAAAGAGACATTATGTAACGGTCGAAATATGTAAATGTGTGATCCTAAATCCGGGCCATGCATTAAACTTTCTCCCTGCCATTTATTTAGATTTCGCCGGAGACAATATTATAAGGTGGTTTATAGTCCAGTCCAGACTAAGGTGTTGTGTTAGTTATTTACTTTTATTTCATTAACTTAAAACTGGTTTAGATAAAATAAAACGATCTCCTTGTGAACGACGGTTTGTTGGTTGTATTATTATAAGGGAAAACATTTAATGTAATACTTACCCATAAATAATGTTTTAGTTGACGACACGTATTTAAGCCTAAGTATGCACGAAAACACAACTAAACTTAAGATGTTACTGTAGGATAAGTGCAGTATCTAAAGTCAGTGTCAGACTTACCCTCCTCTCTTCCTCTCTGGCGGCTTTCAGATGGTTTTCTATGGCGTCCAAGTCTATGACGGGCATCGCCGTTTCTATATTGTACACGTCGAAACTGCCTGAAACAGCACGCACGGATGGTCAATTGTTTTGTATCATTAGCTCAGCTGGATGACTTAGTTGATATTGTGCTCCCCAAATAGAAGGTCGCCGGGTTCGATCCCTAGAAAAATCAATCAGAAGCTGTTTGACGGTTCGAATGAATATTGAGCTATTAATAAACAGTCCCAGATAAAGGAACAACTGATTTGAGACTGATTCGAATGTACGATGATCATCTTCACTTCTTTCCTATGTAACGGTATCATTTCAAAACGTAAAACTCGCTTTGGATTTGCATTAAAAATTTAAAATAAAAATACCTAGACATCAGCAAACTCAATGTAACCGGATTTCAAACACACATATAAAGACTTAAGATTTTTTTTACAAAGTAGGTCCCATAACCTATAAAACAAATATAACAAACTCTACTAGCAGTATCCAATTCAATAGTGGTCTGGTTGTAGGCCCTTGAACAGAGCACTGCTACGTGGTGTACTGTCAAGTGTTGCAGATTGTAGTGCGGCGTATGCAGGCTCATTGGATAGGTTACTTCATAACACGATAATTATTATAAACGCACAGCAATTGACTGTATTGTTGTGATGCAGCATTTTTAAATATCGATAACGAAACAACGAGGATGAATAAACTATAAAGAAATTGGATAAAATAGCCTAATTCTATACTTGTTTTGTTTTACTATTATCCTATGGTGTTTATTTATTCCATGTTATTACAAAGTTCAGTAAAGATAAAGAAGATGTATTTTATTATACTTGTTTGTCATCACTTACAATGCTAACCAAGTTGTCGTTAAAATATCAGATTGAGTAATATAAAACAGTTTTAGCGCTCACATAAAGAAAGACGACAACAGTCTTCAGTCTTTATCAATATAATTCTTTATAACTGAGTGATTGTTTGTGCGATTGCGATACTGCACTTACCAATGTCAGGTGACGTTTTTTTCTTGTCCCTAGAACGCCTCTGAGCCGACGACCTCAGCGCCAGGTTTGTTGGAGGTGTGTATGTTGTGATGTTGGCAGCCTGGCTTACAGTCTTTACCTGAGTGAATAAATCATAATATTAAACAATGTAACAACAACAAAAAACTCATGGACACTAAAAAACGGCACCAAGTGTTTCATACAGCAAAGGTGTTTATGGTTGGAATCCCTCCTACATTACAAAAAATACTCTACTAATTTTAATGTAGCTAGGAAAAGCTCAAAGTGAAGTTAATACCGCGAAAAATCGTGAATGTTGGCCGAAGCTTTTGTAAGAAGCCAGTCAGAAGGTTGAAATGAGTCCTCAAATGAAGGAAAATAGTGTAACAACCCCAAGATTTTAGTTAGGTTGGCCTCGGTTGGACATAATTTTAATTTAACACTATTAATCTAAGTTGTCTGATCGCTTAGTTCTAAAAATAGCTCATTCAGATTATATCAACTCCTCATCAAAAAACGCTCAGGTGGCCGTGAAAAACTGAAATTACCAACTGGATTTTACTATCTCCACGAGATTTGAAGCAAAAATCCTTACTTTTGATTGAATAATTGATAGGCAATTGGATTGTATAGTGGGAGGTTTATAGGAAATTATTTTTGAAGGTTACATACCGAGGGGAAATGCTACTCGATCTTGTCCATAATTAATTATAAAATGGCGTATTTTGATGAAGTACATCATAAACTACAACTATTCTAGATTTGGAGCAAAATATATTCAAATATAACATGTCAGCAAACAATCAAATTTATTTTGTATTAAACTACCTATCTTAGCAATAGATGGATTTGTCACAAATAGATAAATAGATAACAACTCATGAATGGATTTATCACAGTTATCGGTTATAACAAAAAATATATGACTAATCTTTTACAATAACTTACCTTCTTCAAGCTCTCCTCCATTTTATCAATTTTCCTCGGCTCCATCTTCCTCTCCACTCGATTATCCTCGTGTTTCCTTATCTCTTCTTTTACCCCGGACAAGAACGCGTCCGCCATCTTGTTTTCTGCATATTTAACCTCGTCCATCCTCAGCTCCATGTCCAGCTGAATGTTCTTCTCCACCTCCTTGATGTTCAGCGAGTTCAGCTGTTTAGTAACGTCACAGTCACACAGTTCCTCAGTGTTGAACTTGGGTTTGTCGTAGAAGGTCTTCTCGAAGGTGTCGTCCTCGTTGATGTTGTTGTTGTTATTGTTGTTGTTGAGGCTGATGTCCTCCTCGCTTTCTGAGCCTGGAGTGAGTAGTTGGGACGCGAAGTGGTCAAACCCCGGATAGTTCGGGTTGACGATGCTCCTCGGATTGCCACTGGGAGGCCGAGGAACGTCACTTTCTGTATCGCTGCTCTGGCTGAGACTCCGGTAGTCCTCTAGGTCTGGGGAGACGTCCGAAGAACTGGACCCACTACTGTGCTGATCGTCTGAAAAAAAAAACGCTTTATTCATTGATGAAGTTTGTGGGTCACTATAATAGTTAATGCTAACATATTCATATAGCGTTTTCTTTCCGACTCTGTGAGAAAGCAGGAGGTTACTCTGGCAGATGAAAGGAATGATCATGCGTAATGGTTACCTGAAGAAGCACCTAGGTTGCGCTAGTGGGGCTGCAGACCATATACTTTATGACTAAAGTACTTAGTTCCAACTGAGGTAAGAGAATACTTGGAACAATTGCAAGCGACAGCAACCTGTCTGAAGAGATCTTAGACAGAATGCCGCAGGGCACCAAGTACTTAAAGTTGTAACAGGCGAAGACACGGACATGAACACATTACATAAATGTGCCCAAATAATAACAATACTGAATACGGACGTGTAGTTTTGCCGGGATACGATTAGTCATGATTAATCATGCGTCGTTATCAGTGCGTGACATATTGAACATTTGATTGTGGAATCTGATTATAGAATTATCAGTGAGTCGATAGAGCGTAATACTTATAAAAACATGACTGCTGTAAATAAATGTTTACCAGTATTGTTTGTTCTTTTACTTTACCAAATACAAAAGACTTCTTGCTCGATTCCTTGATCTTTGCTGTCCGTTCATGCGTAAGCTGTGACCATTTTAGAGGGACAAACATGAAGTACACAAGATCGTTTATGTTTGGTTCCCTACTTTTGGTAAGGTCAGGTGTCTCGAATGCCTGTAAACGATTTATTTCTTTTTGACCGTGTAATTGTCTATACCGTTATTGATTTCTAGACAGCAGAGTTCCCTAGAAGTCTTGCAGCTTGAAGCACTTTCCGATCAATAAATTAATTTTTCCAACACATAAATTCAATTTCAAAGGTCAGTAATATCTCAATGAAATAAATGGTTCTTTATCCAACACATGATTAAGTAACGACAACCACGAAATGGCACTATGCCTAAAGTGACAACCCAACCTAAAATTTTTATTTGACCGATGAATGTAATGTTATTACAAGCCTAAAGTTTTGACCGTGTCTATTACAGTTTTTCATTTCTAATCACTTACCCTCGTCGTCAGCTAGACTGGGTGCCGGCGACCGCTGTTTGCCGAACCTCAACTGCGTCTGTTGTATGTTGTAGTTGTCGTTGCTGTCTGCGTTTGTGGTGTGGTACTCGTTCACCCATCCTGCGCTGCTTGTGTCGTCAAACAGAGAAATGTAATACAATTATAAAGAATAAACTCTAAGAACTGTCAGCTACATTACAATGACAAAAACTTAAACACTTACAGGTGAAATGATTAGCTTCTCTTCCTAGTTATATGATTTATTTATTTCCCTCCTGTTTGGTGTAACGGCAATCATCAGACCCGATTGGAGACTCCGTTTTTTTAGCTTGATTTTTAACGCTTACAAACTGCATCATTTACGGTATGAAAAATCCACTTGTGAGGTTAGTTGAAACTGGACAGCAATCCGTGCTTCAAGTTAGTTTGAGTTTATTTTGTACTGGTATTGAATTCATAAATTGACCTCATGTTTCACAACTACTTAGCAATGAAATACAAAAGATCCCGTGAAAATCGGTATCATTTTACTGAGGAGATTATAATGGTTTATTACATTTATCTATAGTAGTGTTACGTCATGTCCATAAGGCTCATTTTAACGATATTCCATAAAAGCATGGATTCGATATGCTATTATTTCTTTCATGAACCTAGTGCCCATGAGGTCTATCAAAATGATGATGAGACGTACAAAATATTCCTTACCTAACTTTTAAATAACAATTAAAATATCTACAATCAACAATTCTTAATTATACCTGTGAATCAGTTGATTTGTGGAGAGTTTTGACACGGGATCAGCAGTTCTGTTGAACTCCCTGTCAAACCCGTTGTCATGGCTGGAACACAAATTAATTGTTATTAATAAAAAAAATCATAATAAACAAGAAAGTACTTTCATTATTAAAGTTAGTAATTAATTAATTATAAATAAATAAATAATATTATTTTTCTACAGGAAACAAAAGTGGTTCTTTTGCACTGATTATAGAGAATGAGTTTAAATGAGCTGAAAGAATTGTTTTGCTGTTTACCTACTAAGAACGGTTGTTTCTTTAGCCAGAACCATTTTTAACTGATGGTCCGATTTTTTACTGTCAAAAATGAAAGGGATATTCTATAGATCGAACTGACTTTCTGAGCATTGGGTTATAGTTTAACCACTTAGCTACATTATACACAATTACAAAGATGTTTAGTTAAACATAATAATTTTTACAAGTTAGGTTTAACCATTTAACTAGCATACAATATAAATAACGCGATAAATTGGATTGTTTAACAAAAAAATCATTTTCCAATTTCAGACCCAATATGAATTACCCAATATCCATGGATAAGTTTAGAAAAAGAATCTGTCTGTATAGGGTGTTCAAAAAACCAGTATGAACACGTGGCCATTTTCATTAAATTAAAGACCTTGGAATTATCTTTTCTTTCATAGATTTGTCATGTAAAAGTTGACGGAGTTAGACGATAAGATGGCTTTAATATTCGTTTTGTATAAATCAGGCAAACCTCTTTACAACATTGTATCATGAAGTTAATAAGCTAATAATTAATTACAATACAAATAGGTTGAATTACAAAACAGTCGTCACAGTAGAAGTTAGTCAAGAAGCACAATAAAAATGTAAATCAATATTCACGGATCAATAACACGAACGCTATTTTAACTAATATTTATTTATTCTTTTTATATTCTACATGAGCATAAATTCTCGAGAGCTGCATACTTTACACTAAAAGTAATTTAAGTTTGTAATCAAGTCCTAGTAGAGATAACGGGTAAAGTATTGAGTTTCAAAGTTTGTCGCAGTCTCCTAAGTCCCCAAGATAACTTATGAAATTCAATACTTTTGTCTACAGTATAGTTCTAAAATTTGTTTGAAATATTATGGAACGAAAATGTGATCAGTGATTTTTGTGACTTATTCTGTGGATAGTTATACAAACTCTGGCATTTGCTTATGTGTTTTAGAAACGTTGCATAAATCTTTATAATAGCTTTGGAATATTGAAATACTCCTTTAGTAGTAAGAATGCTATTTAACGCCCCTCTCAAAAGCAAATTCCTCATAGCAGAACCTAGTTAATCTATTATTATAAATTTTATAATTTAAAATAATGTCTAAGGCAAGCGTTTAAATAGGCTTGACTAAATATAGGCTTTGACAATAGGAGATTTTACCAACATTCCATTTTGTATCACCACTCATAAAACCGAATTTCCAATAATAGTTAGGACTCTTCTACCACATTTGTGAATTAGGCATCAGTAGCTTGATTAAACTGACAACATTATACTGAGGGAATAAAAACCCATTATAAGATTAATGTATATAAAAATTGTATCTATTAAAATTGACCTAGGGTTACAAAATTTCAATTACGTTAACCCCCAGTCTACAAAGATTTTAAAAAACCCTGAACAAAAAGTGATTTTCAAATAGGGAATAACGATTTGTGATGAAACTTTTCAATAGCAGATGTTGAGTGATTTTATTGTAACCAGCAAAACCTAAATGGTTCGCGAAAGGGACAAAATATTGAAAATCGATGTTACATGAAAAGGCAAGAACGATTGTTATGGTGGACGCAAAATGCTTTGAAAATAGCATTGTAAAATTGTATTGCCCTTCCAAAACAGTTGATGAATTAACAATTAGATTTAAAAGGAAAAATAGTAAAAATATGGATTTAAAAAGAAAGAAAATAGGCTACTATAATATAAAAGAAGGGGGTTGATGAAAGTCCTTTAAAGATACATTATAAGAACTAACTAATGTGGCTAATGAATTTCATAAGTTTATAGTTGTTATTGTTTTTAATATTGTTATTGTTGATTGCATTTTTCATTGTTTTTCTAATATTATAATCCTATATAATAATAGGCTAGCTTTTTTCTTGAAAATCTTTTTTCTCAGATCGTACGCATCACAGTGAAAATCTACGCATACTGTTAGAAAGATATTTTCCTGCAGATGTGCAGAATTCCTTTACAAATTAAAATAGGCAAACATATAAGCACACAAAATGAATTCAAAATTAGAAAAACTTTAAAATGGGCCTAATGGTTGCCATGCTGGTGACGAAATAACAACAAAATATAAACAGAAAATCAAAACAAATGGAAGAAATTCCAATCACGTGTTTTACTTACAACGTGGGGTGAAAATAGAGAAGTCATGTACATTAAATATTTTAAGTCGACTATTTGTCCACTGGGCCAGGTCTATTATTATTATTAGGAATTTAGATTTTTAATTTTTGAATGTTAAAAAGGTTTGGTGGCCTTGTACCTTGTATTTGCCCGTCCACATAGTCCTCAGGCCTGTGTGGAACAAATACAGCAAATTAAGGGTTGATCTTTTACCTAAGAGTTCAACTGTACTGGTAAAATAAAGTAGCAGGTATCAGGGTCCTAACCCACGACATCGTCGCCATGTGTGCACCCCACGTCCGTCACGCTACCAACTGAGCTACTAACACAGCAAACATATCTAGTTCCCATATCTGCTCTTCAATCAATTAAGTTTTCATAGAATTTGCCATACATGCTACCAAGCAGAGACATTAAAATTAATGTCTCACTCTCTGCTCACTACTATAGATGAAGTAAGTCACTGTCAAATAAAAAGGTATTGGTTAGTGAAAAAATCATGACGTTTAGGCGGTTAAAGTTTAAAGTCATAAAGGAAAGCAACACATATTACTCGTACCTATTTATCCAAGGTAAAAGACACACTAGTAGTTTCGAGTGTGGGAGGGGGAAGCTGACAGATATGATTTATAACAGCATATCAGCTGGGTCATTTGTCCACTGCGGACATTATGTCACAATGCACAGTCTCATATGAAAATATTGCTGCACCATTCTCATCCAACAATATGATACATTGCTTTCCAAGAAAAAGAATACAGTAGGTATTTGTAAGCCTTAAGCAATCGTAAGTTTGGAATTTATCGATTATTTCATACTAATGATAATAACATTGCAAGATTTTGAAGTCGAGCTATGTTGATAAAAAAGAGGTTGTGGTATTTTTTTTCTAAAATTAACCCTTTCACGTGAATCTTAAAGCTCCGCGTGCAATTCAAGCAAAGCAAGAACTGTGCAACTACAATAGTGATATGAACTGGTAAATCTTAATAGCCAGCTCAGGGACGTGAACTAAATATCTCGACCAACCCACCTAATAGAACTATCATAATAGCACACTTTATTAATAGAAGGGTCGATCAATGTCCCTAGTAATACCTTAATTCAGTGGAACAACCAGTTTTCAAGCGCAATACCTATTGTAACGGCATTTTACAGGGATTCGGGTATTACCAATAATGTTTAGGGAAAGAACCCTTGTTTGAATACCAATAACACCATTAGGACGTTTAAAAAAAATGGATTCCCTATAGTTTTCAGAATTTTATGGTTAAAACTCAACGAGATTATGTGTGTGTGCTTCATTGTTACTTAGATAGTAGCAAACGTTTGTTACACAGTATCATTCAACTATATTCTCACTTGGTAAAAACTAGATATAGATTCTCTTTTAGATGTAGACTTTAAAACTGCAGTAATCCAACTAATCCAAGTCTGTAATTATTGCTAAACGTAGCAATGGTTGAGTGTTTGACTTACATGTTGTGAAGCCTGTTAACGTGAAGAACCATTGGACTTTCCACCTTCAGACGCATTCCGAGTTCCTGGAACAAAAAAAGATAAATTTTAAAAACATATAAACATTTACGAAAGAAATACCATTAGTACAAAAATTTACAAAATCGGTTAACTGCTTCTAACTTCATATAATGTAAATATTTAATAAGGTAGTTTACGCTCAGCATTTAGTTATAAGACCTATAATGTTTTGGTTTCCTAAGCGTGTATTTAAGTACGAAATATTTTTTTATTGATGGGAAATGATGAAAATGCAAAACTTAACCTGACCTGAACCAACTTTAATGAATTTTAAAAATGCGCCTAACTGAGTTTTATTTTTAAAAGTAAATATTTTGTGAAACGGAAGGGTAAAAGTTAAAACATCTACTCACACCAGACGCTCGAAGATTGTGACACATTGTATAATGTTTAACAGGCTTACCCTAAACCTGGTTACCCAAAACTCCCCCCTCCCCCTTGACCCCCTGCCCCCCTTGCACCCTTTACTTGACAAAGCGCTGACGCCAACCCTTCAACTCAAGAAACTAACAAAGAACTATTCTTGAGTGATCCTCTCGTTCTTGCCTTTAATTGGCGAATGTAATATCAAGTAATGAAACGTTTTTTTTTTTTTTAAGATAGAAGAAAAATAATTTCTAAAATTATTATCCTGTAGATTTTAATATAAATATATAATTATTTTCACCAAAATATAATGTCTTTTTGACGTTGTTTAATTATTTTATTTTTTAAACAGTTTAGATAAAGTTAAATTTACAAATCCTAAAGTAATCTAGTGGTGAGAGAGTTTAGGTAAAATAATATAATAGAGATTTAAATCCACAAGTAACTTTATCACTATGCTTTTAAAGCCAATGAATGTTCAAATTATACTATTTTAAACATAAGTTAAAAGAAGAACTAATGTTTCGATTTTAAAACACAACAATGTTTAGGAATTTTCTTAGTAACCTTAGTCATACAACAATCCAAGTGTACAACAGTATTTGTTTTAAGCATTACACGATGCCTGAAATGCAATTTGGGCATTTTCATGTTTCAAAGTAAAAAATTGAGAAAGAAAAACATTTAAAAAATGTCAAAACTAATACAACACCCCGTTCCCAAGACCTCCTGTTGGTTCGCGAACTCATTCAAGTGTTAGGAGATGGCCCCAAAAGTTCATGCCAAATTTCAATGATATCGGTCCATAATAACTCGAGTTATCGTGTTAACGGACATACACAAATATATAAAAAAATTGAACGAATAGAGATGTTCAATTCTGGGGACATCAAATAAATAAATCTGCCCTGTTCTACGTCTTACCGTGCCACCTACGTAATAGCTTCTTTCCTAAGTAAATTCACTGAAATGTTTGTACCTACACCTTACTTCATGACTAATTGTAATATAGGTTAAAATAGTACGAAAGTACTTTTATATTCAATTACCATCATTATAAATCATGTATTATTATTAAATTTGACTAAAATCACATAGACTACACAAAAAATGTTTCAACACTAAATCACAGTAAAGTTAAATTTATACTGATCTAGTATGAAAAGATTGTGCGATGAGTATTAAGATAACAAAATTGTATTTATTTTTAATATCATTTAAAAAATATCTATTTGCTAATTTGATGTGATTTTCTAGCGATTTCAAAACCAAACTCAAACTTAAAATCTACATTGCCAATTCACAATCTACTACTGTAAACTAAGTTATAGTGATAAATGCGATCAAATAAATGCAAAAATGTGTTTTTTAATCTCTATTGAGAAACAAAATGGACAAAATGTCTGCTTCGTAATATAGCGATTTACAAACAAACACCGGGTCGGGTATTATGAACTGGGGATTGCCACATTATTATGCGGTGCAGTGGAGAGTAAAATCCCTAATATGTCGGCGCTGGCCGGGAATATAAGGATTACTGACCCTACCCCATCCCTTCGCAAACGTCTATCTGGGAATAAAATAAAACTTTCATTTATGGAATTGGAAGAGGTGGATAGCTTCGTAGCACATATTTGGAGTACGTGTAGTACATGGTTGTAGTATAGATTAAACATACTCCTTACAGACTTGGCATCCTAATGAATAATATCTATTGGGATATTATATCCAAAGAAATACAATAATAAATTTAGTTTTATCCACGTAGAGGACGTATTTTTATACCTTTTGTTTCTTATATCTAACCAGTTTTGAAATTTAAATGATTTAAAAAAATAAAGCAATTGCTTTTGCTGTGGCATTGTGTCCAAAGAGTAAATCACGACAGTTGTGTTCATTAGGTAGTGAAGTTTACTAGCATTATCAAAAGTGAATGCTTCAACATGTGGAACCGAATATTTCATGGTAGTAAATGTTGATAAAAATTACAGTAGTACTATTATATATTTGCTATTATGCAGAGAATATTCATACATTTCAATAAATATTGTTGTACAATTTAAAATATTAAATTTCTAGGAAATCTATTGATCCATTGATACATGTTAATTGCCGTTTGGAAACACTACTTAGCCTAAAAATAGCAAGCATCAAACTTGTATTTAACTAAGCTCGGTATAATATAACACTCTGAGTTAATTTTCCCTGTAGCTGAAGCGTTAAAATCAGCGAAGTGGTATTAGGAGGGAGGGCACGATAAGTAGGCCTAGTGGTAGTAATTGTCAGGGATTATTTCAGATCGCTGTATCAATTCCCAAACAAATAATTATTTCCCTCTCTGGTAGAATCTGAATTTCTGGATCATTCATGATCACAAAGTCATAAAAAATATAAGTTTTAACTATAATGGGGTTTTACAAAAACGCCAACTGAATTCATTGGACCGTTAACAAATAATAGGTAGTTTTGCATCATTTTGCTACTTACATGATTCTAAATGTTGTATTTAACCTATTTTATGGAAGATAGAGATATGTATTTATATTACGATACAACGCATTCCAGACGTAATATTTCTCCATCTCGCTCAGACCTTTTGATGTGGAATATTCTTTGAGAAGAGCCTAAAGCTATCTTTCTTTGACAAAAACGGATAGAAACTAAGATTTCGAAATCGCTTCAAAACAAGAAAATGAGTATAGTATTTATTGTGGTTTAAGCTTATAAGAGTATATAAACTGTTATATTGCCCGACAAAGGCTTATAGCACTTGAAATGATAAATCGATGTATTAATAAGCCTCATTATTCTATTCCTAGTAGGCCACAGAAAATTACGATATATTTAAACGATTTTTAAGCTACGTTAAAAATAAATCCTAGAATAAATAACTTGACGCTATGATAAAAAAATTGATTTAATAATATGATTTATGTTAAGTTACATACACATGCGTGTCAACCTTAAAATTGAAAATACGTATTCAAGGGGAATTATTTATCCAAAAATGTGTTTAGAAACTCTTTGGCACATCCAGACGAACATTGAAGATTAATGAATGTCAGATTATTCAGTAACGTATTCGACAGTTTTTCCAGATGAACATTGTTGATAAATGGATGATGGATGGATTGTAGCGTGATGGGACAGTTTCGAAGACACTCGCTGTAGATACAAGTTTAACGGACGGCTTTTGTTAACGTGTTGGTCAGTTTGCCAGAATAATGTTGTAAATTGAATGATGGCATGTTTTCAACGTTTTGAAAGATTGTCAAGTAAATATTGTAAAAAGATTTTATAACGGATTTATTTCACTCATTGGGTAGCTTTTTAGATAAACAATGTAAACCATGCGTATGGCGGATTTTATTTTAACGCTGTGCAAGTTATTCGTACAAAACATGTATAATGTACTGTCTTTTCTGGTATTGGAAGGTTTTCCTGACGAAAATTGTAAAAAAGATTAAAAATCGTTTATTGGCATATTTAACGTATTTTGTGATATAAATTGTAGATCAATAGATGATGGATTGTCTATTGATGTATTGAACAGTTTGATATGCTACATGAATAAATGTATGAGAGATTGTCCATTGACGTATTGATCAGTTTTTGTGGCGTTCATTCAAGATAAATGGATGACGGATTGTCTATTGACGGTATTAAACGAATTTTGTAATGAACATACAAAATAACATGTAGTAGATAATTGGATGAGGATTGTCTTATTAATTAACAAATTTGATCTACGGATTATAGGGTCTTATTGCAAATATTTTTGAAACCAAACCGGAATAAATCGAATAAAATATTGTATTTTAACGTTATCGTAAGAAATAAACGATTGCGAAGAAATAAACCATCGCAGTCTCAACTGATTAACACTTAGATAACTTAATTTTCCAAGACGCAGAGGTCTGGCCAATCCAGTAATCGTTTTAAGGCTTAAAATATTTCTTCTTCGTTTCTCCCGTTCAATAAAACCCTAAAAATTTTTTTTGTAGACATGTTTAGAAGACCTGTTGAAAAGAGTCACAAACGTGGTTTGGAAAAACGGGTTTCATACTGTAATTAACATCTTTCTTTTCTTTCTTTCTTTTCTTTTTTCTTTTTTCTTTTTTTTTAAACATGTATCAATGGATCAATAATTTCCTCAAACAAACCAGGTAAGAACGTTTTTTAGGTTATGGATGCTGGTTAATAAATTGTTTTTACTTCCACAATCCCTTCGAATCTTTATGGTGAAAGAAGGAACCCGGTGGAATTTTTCAGAATATGATTATAGATATGTATTGACCGGTATAATTATTTGCCTTTCTGTATAATTTAAACCCAATGAATGCAGTAGCCTTTGAATACAAAAACAATACACGCATTTAGAATTGAATTAACATAATATTTAAATGAACTAGAATATCACAGATTTTCTTTATGTTTATATATTATAACTGAGGCATCCATGTATGTGGTGTAATGTTGATGTTAATACAGAAGATATTGGGCCAATATCGTTATATAGAATACGATATACAATATCGTATTTGGTTGGAATACTGAGGAGGGTTGATGAGATGAAATGGCAGACGTGTCTAACATACTGTCTCTTGTCTGGCAGCATTGGAGTTTATTGGAGTACGAT